TAGTTGAGGGGGAGGTGGATTCGGGGGCTGTCGCTGACAGAGTCGTTCATGAGGTTGAACTTGAGCGATTTCTGCAGCCCCGTCTCCTCCTCATCCTCCGTGGGCTTGGGCGGCTTCGGGGACTTGCTCTTCTTCACCTTGCTCTTGCTCTTGCCGCTCTTGCTGGCCTGCTTGGGTGCGTACAGGTCCTTGGTCTCCTTCTTGCCTGCCTGGTAGCCGCTCTTGGCCTCCCGCTGCCGGCAGTAGCGCACCAGGATGACCAGCACGATGACCAGGGTGACGGCCACGATGCCAGCGATGACTCCAAAGAGGATGTTGCTCCGCTGCTTGCTGCGCTCGTATTCGGGGTCTCCGGCGATGTCTATGTCAAGCGGCGTGTCCAGGCTGTGCCCCACCAGCGTGTCCAGCAGCGTGCGGTTGGCCAGCGTCTCGTTGACGTAGAAGTGCACCAGCGCCGTGCCATGCCGTGAGGGCTTGCCCTTGTCGTTGACGCGCACAACCAAGCGGTGCAGGCCGTGGTGCTTGCGCAGGATCTCCTTCTCCAGGGTGATGTCTCCACTGTGCGGGGAGATCTGGAAGAGCTCGAAGGGGTTGCCTCCTGTGATGCTGTAGGTCAGCTCTGCGTTGACACCAGAGTCGATGTCCTCCGCCTTGACCTTGCTCACCTGCTGGCCAGGGCTGGTGTGGGGCAGGATGTGTTTGTAGGTGGCATTGGAGGGCGAAGTGATGAAGGGGGCATTATCATTCTCATCCAAGACGTTGATGGTCACCCCCACGTAGGCAGACCTGGGAGGATCCCCACCGTCCACCGCCTTGAGGCGGAACGTGTACGTGCTCTGCTGCTCCCGGTCAAAAGAGATGCTGGAGAGGATGGTGCCGGTGCCGTTCTGGATGACAAAATCCCCATTGTCTTGCTCCACCGACAGCTGGATGCGGGCGTTTTCTCCTTTGTCAGCATCGATCACCGTCACCATGCCCACAGGGCTGAGGGGTGGCATGTTCTCCATCACCGAGAAGTTGTAGCCGCTCAGCATGAACTTGGGGTCGTTGTCATTCCTGTCCATGACGTTGATGGCCACAGACGCTGTGCCCTTCAGGCTGGGGCTGCCCTTGTCTGCTGCCACCACCAAGAACTCGTAGCGCTCCCGCTGCTCTCGGTCCAGCACCGCCTTCACCCGGATCTCCCCGGAGTCGGGGTCAATGGTGAAGGAGCCCTTGGAGGAGGGGTCTGTCACCAAGGAGTAAACCAGCTTGGCGTTGGAGCCACTGTCAGCATCGCTGGCGCTCACCTCCATCACCAGGTCGTCGGGCTCGTTGTTCTCAGGGAAGGCCACCTCGGTGAAGCTCTGGCTGAAGACGGGCGCGTTGTCATTCACATCCACCACCTGCACCTTCAAAGAGTTGGTGCTGGAGAGGGGGGGGGTCCCCGAGTCCACCGCCACAATCTCGATCGTGTACTCCTTCACTGACTCGTAGTCCAGCGGCGTGGTGGTCTGCAGGAAGTATTTCTTCTTGCTGTCGCTCCCCGTTTCGCTAGCCTGCCGCAGCTGGAACGGGACGTCACCAGCCACCACGCAGGTCACCACGGCGTTTTCGCCCTCATCTCGGTCGGACACCTGCACCAGAGCCACTGCTGTCTCTACTGGCACGTCCTCCGAGATGTTCGCCATGCCATCCTGGTGGGTCACAAGCCCAATGCCCCGTATCTCTATGGAGGGCGCGTTGTCATTCATGTCCTTGATGGTGACCACCACCTGGGTGCGGGCGCTCTTGGGGTTGGCCCCCTTGTCCTTGGCCATGACAGAGAACTTGAGGATGTTGACGTCCTCGCGGTCAATGGGCCCCTGCACGGTGATGAGCCCCGTGGTGCGGTCCAGGCGCAGCAGCCGGCGCACCATGTCCGAGGCTTGGTGGAAGGAGTAGTCGATTTCGGCGTTGGCGCCCTGGTCCGAGTCGTTGGCTTTCACCTGCGGGATGGAAGGAGAAACAGTGAACGGGAGGGCAAGGCGACGCCAGCCCCTCTGCAAAGGGCCGCGCTGCCCGCCGCCGCCTCCTTTGGGGACGGCTGGTGGGGAAAAACCAGGATTTCCTCTTCTGGGGCCAAGGACTATGGGGCAAAGAGCCTGGGACCGGCAGGGCGGCTGGGGGGGGCCCTCCGGCACAGAGGCTTTTCCTTGCTCTTCCAGAGAAACCGGCTGGGCCGGTCGGCTGCGCTCCC